GATGTTTACCAACGTTTCAGAGGTCATACTGCCTCCGTCATCAGGGCGATGGATTTCTGTCTTCTGGGTTGTTGGCTGTGTAGTCTGGTCGATGTTAACCGACGTTTCAGAGGGCATACTGCCTCCGTCATCAGGGCGATGAGTATGAAGATTTCTGTCTTCTGTTTTGTTGCGCTGTGCAGGTCCTTGCTGCTTCCATCATCAGGGCGATGAGATCTTAAGAACCCAGAAGACAGCCATCTTAAAGAACGACTTTATCACGAAAACGGTTCATCAGACCAGATATTGTCGATTTTGATTCGCTCAGGTAAATCGATAAATAAGTCCATGAAGTCATTCTGGTAAGTAACAACATCCGGTCGGACCCTAGAGAGTGCGAAGTTCTCGATTAGTCTGCTAACAGTGCCAAGAAGAATAAAGATTCTGTAGGAATTTCCGAGCATTTGTACAGAAACCACGTCATCGTGTACTCATGATGGATTCAAATGTTTGCGGAGGAACGCGTTTAAAAAATTATGTGAGGACGATTATTGTGGGCTTAAGTAGATGTCTCGTCACTCTGTTCGGAAGTTCATTCGAGCCTGTAGCCTTGTCAGTCTTGAGTCCGTCCCCCCTCTGAAAATGAGGTCAGGGTTTCTTTATCTCGGGGTCTGTTAGACGTACTCCTTCCTTGCAAAGGGCTCGAGTAGTGGGACGTTTGTAATCTTCCATAGCGACTGGTCCTCGCTGTCCAGGGGTCACCTCAGCATGCGACATCTTTAGGGGGGAGAGCTACATATGTTGGAGGCAGGAGGTCGTGGAGGGGTCATATCTATGCAAGCTTCGGTTACGTTAAGTTGTCCAGGAGATCGGCGATCCCCTCGAGTGGTGAGTGAACCTGTGGATGGATGTGTTTGGGAATCCCCCACCGTCACGTGACGACAAACGGGCCATGGGTCGTTCGCCCCCTTTGGCTATGTCCGACTTTAGCTGTCGCGTACAGCCGAGGAGGGCACGTCGTTTGACCTTGAGAAAGGCTAGTTCTTCCTCAGGAGTCGTCAGTAATTAAACAAGCTCCAATCGCAGATTCTGTGTTTGTTTGTCAGTCCGACGTAAGGATGGGGTGACGTTCACGATGTCCGGAAGCATTACTAAGTTAGTGGGACACCTTATTTGGTACCTAAAAATGTTTCTCTCGTTACTACATGTCTTCCACTATGGCAAGGAGACCAATTATATACAAACCTAGCAGAATGAACAAGGGTTTGTAATATTTGCAGTGAGTAGTTTATGGACGAGGCAGGCGTTAACATTTATTTTGTCTCTGAAGACGTAGCTAGTACATTTCCTTTATGAGCTGGCCCTTTGGTACCGACTCTGGTGAAGTCACGAGGGCAGAGGCCGTTGTTTTCTACGCTTTTGTCCTATGACACAGAAACGTCGTCGCTATTATAGAAAGATGTCGGAACTAATCGAACGTTATCGGGAAAGGTGATGCCAAATCCCTCGAAATAGTTCTGTGACGTACGAACGTGAATACTAAGCTCGGGACACAGCTAAAGCACATTGAATTATGGATCTAAACATTCTAAAAGAAGGAAAGTAGACATCCTGACCGTAGTTTTGAAGAAATTTTTGAAGCCCTAGACTAATTAACCCTTTGAAGGCGAAGATCGTCTGAATATTATTTATGAATTCAGTCCGTACCGCGAAGAAAACACTACCCCTCACCATTACGAAAATCAGCTGGTTAACCCTTTGAAGCCGAAGCTCGTCTGAATATTATTTACGAATCCAGACCGTACCGCGAAGAAAACACTTCACTTAACCATTAGAAGTCAAATCAGGCGGTACCACATAAGATTTAACAAAAGAACATCCCGGTCAAAACCTTAATAAACATGAAGCATTGAAATAGGTTATGTATGGGTTTTCGGGCAGTCTGATCAAAAATTATTATCGACTTCACTCACCCGGGCACAGATTAAATCTCACCCCATGTACAGTTCACTGCGTAGTCGTCTTCTTATTTCAATACCAAACTAAAGAACGACTAATTATAATTATTAGCATAGGAACCAATCACTGATAAAAAAATAACCAGTTATTTTAAGTTTACCGAACAAACGAAGGCAGATGCAATAGTAGTTCTTTATCTCTCGCTTCGAGGTTACTTTTTGAGTGTACCACAAAGTCGTTCAAAATCATTAAATCTCCTTGCGTTCTGCGCCGTTGACCTAGATCTTAAGTTTGCATTTGAATGAAGTAATTCTTTTTACTTATGCTGATAAATAACCGCGAGATATTTTCCCTTGAAGACAGTGATTTTATTTGTTAAATTTTTTGTGAAAATATCTGCCAGCTTCTGAAAATATGAAATACTTGGAAAACAGCGTGAGAAATGAAAGGTACTCCAACAAGAAACTTATATTCGATCATGTATCTGTCAGTCTAATTAAAATTGCCTCTCATAGATTTTTTTTACAGAGATTTACAGCGTAGTAGATCTTGATAGTTTTTATTCTGGTAACAGTAACAAACGGACAGAACTAATTATATTCTTTATGAATTAAGTCATCGACGCTAATGAATTCGAAAGATAAGTAGGACTCATGTTATTTATATTTTTATTGATCGTGCCTCATGCCCTTACAAATTCAAAAATTACGACCAATAGCATTTTTACAAAAAAAATTCTACCACGCAACTGTCTGGTACATTTCATTGGACGACGACATCGAAGCCTGAGGTTCG